AGTATCATAAGTACATTTTCTATTTTTCCAAATGATTTATTTTGGATTTATAAGTAGAATGATTTTCTGATGTATTTGGTTGATAAGTATAGTTTGGGTAGTCACAGTTGTGAGCATACACTTTATATCCAACCATTTACCTAAAACTTTTTATTTCTTTAGGTTTTTGTTATTTAATTTTGCATTGGGTATTTTAAAACAATATCAAGATGATGTCCGATGTGTGGTAACTTAGGTGAAAACTTACACTTAAAATATTCAATTATTTTAAAAACACCTTTTTATGAGAATAATTTTTAAAATCATAAAATTGGGGCCATCCATGAAATCAAAATATAACCTATGTTCCTGAATTGAACTACAATTTATTTCCCTGGAGTATTCATTCTTGCTATTCAAAACTCTTCAAAAAGGATTCTGAATAAGAAAGACATCAAGTCACTTTCATTTGGATTAAACAGAATCAAGCAATTCAGCTGGTGACTAAGAATTTTGACAGCCATGGAAGACAAAGAAACACACAGGGAACTTATTCACCTATAGAGAGCAATTCATCTCTCATTTTAACCCCAGAGATGAAGCCAGGATGATTTTTTAAGTAGAAAAGGATCCACCTAGATATATTCAAAAAGCAACTGTGTCCTTTTCTACAGATCTGCATATTCTTTTTTCCCCCAAATAAGGATAAATTTACTATGTTAAAATAACAGGGTAATATCTACTAATTATTAATTCAAGTATGCTGTGCATCCGATACAGGATCAATATATTACTGGGAAAGTCTAAAGGGATAGCTATAGTAAAAAGTAGGAAGGCACTAAAGAGAATCTGACATATGACAGAAGTTCAGTAAATTCTATTACCATTACACTTTATATGGTTATCATTGCTATTGCTATTAATCTTGAAAAGGCTAAAAGTCCATTTCCATCATCTTACTTGGGACTAGCAAGGCAAATACAAATGTCCAATAAATACTCATGAAATGTATGTTGAGAGACAGTTAACAAAAGTCTCAGTTGCCAGAAAATATTTTGACTGAATCCTTCGCTGCTAGTTTTAAACCAAATCGTAGAAGATGGATTTGTTAAAGCCAAAAACATTCCTCTCTGGAAGTGAAAACAAGGTTCCTAAAATGTTCTTTCAGTACAAAGTTTGGGGCAGGGGGGAAGTTTCTGGAGAAAAATAAGATTTAAATTGCACATAAAAATGCTTGAAAGCAGAATTTCTTCTTTCAAATCTTTTGTTGGACACCTTCTACATGCAATGCACTAATAAATCACAGAGTTTGCAGACATCAAATTTAAAAGATATCAAATTCAAAAGAGCCAAACAAGGGGCCAGAGTGATAGAACAGCAGGTAGGGAGCTTGTCTTGAATGCAGTCATCCCAGGTTTGATCCCCAGCACCACATATGGTCCTCTAAGAGTGATCTCTGAATACAGAGCCAGGAGTATTCCTGAGCACCGCTGGATGTGGCCCCCAGACAAAAAGAGCCAAACAAAAAGAAAACTGAAAATTGAGATAAGTGATTGATATGGAAGAAAAGTAGTAGGATGATAAAATATTTGAATTTGGTGAAGTAGGAGACCAATGAGGGTGAGGGGGTACAGCTTGGACAGAGTAAAGTCTCTAGGAGGAGGTGCTCAGGATGTTCAAGGAAGGGACAGGTGTGATAACAGCAAGAGGTAAAGATGCCCAAGAGGAGGTTGGCCAAAGCCCCAAAGCTCTGTGAGTTTTTGGAATCAGTCCTAGGTGTGTGGACGCATTTTGTGAAGGAAACTGACATTATTCTGTCTGTTCTGGATGAGAAATTGGAAGGGCTAGGCAAGAATCCAGGGGTCTTGACAGAAAGTTATGCTTGTAGTCCAGGGGAGAGTTGTCTTGACGTTTGATGGCTGATTGGAGGACGGAGGGGGAAAATCTATTAATTTAATATGGAGATGTTAACATAAAGATGACATGTATGACATGACTAAGTGGTTATTGAATCTTAAGGGTAAAAGAAATGGAAAAAAAATGTCAAAGGTGATTCTTCAGGCTCTGACTGAGGCAACGCTAATATTAGCAAAGCTATTTATCAAGAAATACTAGATAAAGGTGTTAAGATTGTGACCTTTTATTGTCATTGTCATTTTTACTAGACTTTCTGTTCATATGTTTTATGTTGTTTTGATAAGGCATCAAAAGAAAGGCAATATTTTAAAATCCACTTGGAAGTGAGTATAACATGGAGGTTTGGGATTGTCTACATGTTGAAAGTGAAATCTGGCATTTAGACTACATAAGACATATGTAAGGTGTTCTGAATGCTACTGATCCCTTCCATGTTTAGGCAAATAAAATGTCAAGTAGCTGGATTAAACTATCTTTAAAGTATTTCCTGAATGCATAGTACTCTAAGCTGCCTGCTCATATGCAGTATAATATTAATTAATATTAATATAATATTAATGTTCTGAAAAACGGATCATAGGAATATTGGTCTTCTGGGCTTAATATCGTCATTCCTGTTCATTCACATACATATGCAAAAGTCATGCCCTCCTGGAACCTGTAAATGTGACCATATTTGGAAACAGGGTCATTGCAGATGACAGGTGAAGATGAGAACATAATGAACAGAGTAGATCTTAAATCTACAGTGTATAATCTTATGATGAGGAACTTTAGACACAGGACAGACACAAAGAAAAAAGATGGTCATGTGAAGCGGAAGCAGAAATTGGAATTCTGCTCTCACAAGTCCAGGAACGTTTTGAACAACCAGCAGCTGGAAGAGGCAAGAATAGATGACCCTAGAGACTTCTCAGGGAACATGGTCCCACCAATGCTTTGCAGAACTGAGATATTAAAAACAATTCCTGTTGTTTGAAGCCACCTAGTTTTTGGTAACTTCTTATGGCAGCCCTAGTAAGGAGAAATGCATGAAACCACACTTCTGAACCTAATTAGTTGAGTATAGCACATAGTAGACATTCAATAAACACCCACTTTATTTCTTATAATGATCACTACTTGAAATGTCTTGATGGCTTACATTATGGGTAATCCTGATATCTACTCATGTGGGTAGGTCTTATCTTTATTCCTAGGCTTATTTTGTACAGGAGGAGGAGGCTGAAAGTTTGGAAGTTAAAGAGCTTCCAAACAGATCCCAAGGGTAACAGTGGAAGAGCCAGAGGTCAAACTCAGCTCTGTCTCATCACCAAGATAATGGATTTTTCTTTTGCACCTGGATCATTTTAGCAAGTGACAGAGTAAAAGGAAGACACTGCCAAACTGTTTTCAATGCCTACAATTAAAGCCCACATTTAATTGCAAAATAAGTCATTGGGAAATAATATAGCCAATCTACAGTCATGCACAGTAAAAAGATCAAAATTTGATTCTAAGATCACTGCTGTCAATGAACTTGCCATCAATTTCCTATTGCTTCCATTAGCAGTGCTACTGCTTTGCACATATGTATTGCAAGTCAAGGTATTATCATCAGATAGGACAGTTATAGCTTTGTATTATTGAAATCCTAAATCCTAAAGCATTTACCATCTTATTTTGATGATACTGACTCATTCATGCCACTTAAAGAGACCATAAAAATAAATAATGTAAACATGAAGGGAAAGTGTCTCTAAACTTCATAGGCACAGATGTCCCTCCCTTAAATTAAAAAGCAAAAAAAAAAAAAATCTAAATTTACTTTCTCTCTCCAATTCACTGAGTTGTGCAGCTGTATACAACGAATAAGCAAACATAAGTTAAGGGTGTCATTATGAAGCATCAGTTTCATAGAATTCTAGTGCAGGAAAGGCTTCTCAAGAGTTCCTGCTCAGCTGGACTCAGGTAAGATTTTACTTGCCACCTAAAAGAAAAATCTGAGAGATGTCGAGTAACCTAAGACACTATCTTTTAGTAGAATTCTATGGCATGCCAGGTTCCCCAATTTCCCCCAGAGTGTAATCAACTGTCATCAACTATTAATGACACTTTTCTCTGGCTTTGTATCAAGTTCTCTCTCTCTTTTATTTTAAAGATTATCTGGTGTAAAAAGAGACCGCCACACATAGCCCCAATGATCCAAATTCTCTGATATCTCATGTTGAATTAATTCATATCTCATGTCTGAAGTGCAGGAGCACGTGCAGGCACAACACACACACACACACACACACACACACACACACATACACACACACACACACGGGTGCTCATGCGCTTCTTTCCCAAACTGGCCACTGATGATCTCTAGACTTTTCAAGTTTACCCCAAAGGAGGCTGGCATCACACACAATTTTGACAAGAGTTTTGAACCAAGGTCCTCTGTCCACGGCGCTGCCCACGAACATAAGTTCTCTCTCCACTCCAAGTCACCACGCATACATACACCAAGGCAAATAACAAAGGAACACATAACCCAATAAATGCTCAGCTACAGCATCTCTCATTGCGCACCTGCTTAGAGACAAAAAAAAAAAAAAAAACATACGGAATCCAGCTCTAGCAAGATGTCCAACACTGCTCTGGAGAAGCAAGCATCGTGGCACCCCCTGGGTGTGCGCGGCTGTATACACAAAGAACTGGTGCTGGGCTTGCCAGCAGTCCTGGGGACCAGCGCGCTCCTCGGACTGGTACCAGGGCTTCTCCCTTAAGCCCTCCCACCCAACCGAATGCAACTCTCCTTTATTTGACCCGTAGAGAGCCCCAAATTGGAGGGTAGCGCAGGGCTGTGTGTGGCGGGGAGAGAAGGGGGTGGGGGTTGAGGGAGAGGCGGTCCCCGCATCCCTTTTCTCCAGCCAGCCGGTCCCCCCGCTTTTGGGCATCTCCTAGGAGATGCACAATTGCGCGCTGTCACAGACGTCCGCTTCGCATCCTCTCCCGGCAGAGCAAGATGCCTGGGGTCCCAGCCGCGCGCATCCTCCCCCCCCCCCCCCGCCCCGCCGGCGCCCCTCCCTGCACCCACATCCAGCCGGGCTCCCCGGCCAGGAGTGCTAGCCTACCTGGCGGCTGGCTGTCAGCGAAGCGGCCGTGCCTACCCCCTTCTCCGCTGCTACAACGCTCGGAGCGCCATGTTCCCGGTCTCGGCGGGCGCACGCCGGGCAACTACTACGGGCTGGGTAGGGGCAAGAGGGGCGGGGGCCAGCGGGAGGGGGTGGTGGGCAGAGCCCAAGCTTTCTACTCTCCACCCGAGCCTCCCCCCGGCTACTGAGCATGCCCAGCTCCACGACTTTGCCTCTAGGACTGTCCACGCTCGCACGCAGCTTGCTCCGGGTTTTCGTGGCAGCCGGCGGGAGGCGAGGCTGGAGCAGCTGCAGGGGGTGGGGGTGGAGCGGCGGGCTGGGGGGTTGGGTCGGAGGGGAGTGTCTGTGTGCCTCGGAGCCCCAGCTGGAGAAAGCCACCTTGAGCTAATCCAATCACACTGGGCTTCAGCCCACCCGGGCGGGGCAGCTCCTGCACGCCCCTTCCCCACGAACTCCGGGTCGGGGGGAGATGCTGTGCGGGACTGCCGGCAGGTCTGGGTTTAGAGTCGGAGGAAAGCCGGGAGCTGGAGGGGGCGGGACTGACCGGCCAGCCGCTTTGCTACCCCACCTGGCCGGTCCCCGTGCGTCCCAAACTTCTACGTGCGGAATCACACCCAGTGCCAGATTCACTTGGTCTGGCCTTGGGCCTGAGATGTTGCAGACCGAGCACGGTCCAGGTGATGCTCAAGTCGCGGGTTCCTCTGACCTCCCTGGAACCTCAGTGTGGCTTCACTCACCGAGCCCCGAAGGGACCCTGGAGACCAGACCGACTCAGCCCCTGCCGCCCAGCAGATTGCGTAGTACCTTACACGCGGAGGTGCCCAAGGCAGCATTGCTTGCATCCCTGGGAGGGCTCTCCTTAGGATTGGGTTGTAAGCATCTGGCGTAAACTGGTTTCTCTCTGACTTAGAATCTGAGGCCTAGGGGAAGCTAAAGTGGGTCTGGAGCTCTGTCTCTCTGTCTCTGTGTCTGTCTCTCCTCCTCCCCGCTGCCCTTTTTCTCTCCCAACCTCCTCTGCTCTTTTGGTGAGTGGGCTAGCAAACTAACAACCGATGTTTTTGCCTTGACTTTCCTCCTGCCATTCCTTAACTGGGACAAAAACTCAGACTTGGGCATCCAAGTATCTATGTATTCTATATGTGATGCTCAAATTGGTCATCCTTAATTAACAAACTGACCGAGAAGAGAAAGGACTATGTGGCAAGAAAAGACAGGACTAAGAGAAAGATGTGCTTCATCTTTACCTGTTTCTCTACTTCCCTCCCCCACACCCCCAAGAATGTTCAAGAATATTTACCATCCTTACTACAGGAAAGAGAAAACTTCACAGGACCTATCTTACATTTCAGTTTTGGAAATCACACACTGTTCTTTTCTCTGCTGTCCCCAACAATGTACATATGATCGAATACCTATGGCTTCTGATTCCACAACAAAGGAGCAGATTGGAAATAAGTTTTTTGTCCATTGTACCCGATTTTACTCAATATCTAAGCAGTTTTCTGATAATTTTTAATCGTTATCATATCTCTCTTGTTGTTTTCTATTCATTCAGTAAACCTAATAATTTTGATAGAAAATACTCTCAAAATACAAAACAGAATAAGTGAACAGTTACCTTACACCCTCCGTATTTCTGTGTATAAAGGATAAATATGTTCAGATAGATCATTATCTAGTTTTCCATTTATAGAAATAAAAGTCTCTAAGTTTATCTCACTATTGAGATATGGTCCTACCAAGGTACCATCTTCCTCAACTCTGACTCCAAACATTATTTGCAAAAACATCTTTCTTTCTTTTCTTCCTGAATATATGTTGGTTCCAATGTGACAGTCAACAAATATTTTATAGAGATGTTTATAATTAATTTATTATTGCTTTGAAATACCAAACTCTGAACACTTACTATATTTTCACCCTTATTACATAATGCGTATACTTGTATATTGTTTCTGCAGGTTAAATACTGATCATTGTAATTGATCAGTATTTAATTCTGATCAATTTTACTTAGGAATTATAAAGACAAGGTAAACATAGTAAATACATTTTTTCATTAAATATGCATTATGTCCTAGAGGTTTACATTTTATATAATGTGACTTCTCTTTTTGTTTTTCTCTCAGAGCCACAACCTGTGGTGCTCAGAAGTGACCCCTGCTGGTGCGCAGGGTACCATATATGGTGCTCCAGATTTGATCTGGTATCAGTTGTATGAAGGCAAGCACCTAACCTCCTATACTCTCTCTGGCCCCTGTTATCATTTCTTGAGAGTTTAGCAGGAAGCATGTTGATTAAGTCCAGTGCCTATGGGTAGGAAATATAGGAAGCAGGAATAAATACAGGTAGAAATTCTGACCTATCATATAGGCCAGTGACAATGTTATCAACCTTTCAGAGAGCTCTGGAGTTGAGATGACCTTTCAGAATTAAAATCTCTGAGGGTGAACTGTCTAGAAGGGGCTGAACTTGAAACAAGGCCACTATCTAAAGTTTAGGAAATTCCTGAAAGAGATTAGCAGTTCAAAGCTTTCTACCAACAGTAGTCCCAACAGCTGGATAACAAGTCTTTCACTTGAGGATGCAAGAAATCTGGGTAGTATATTACTTTGTTTGCCACAACATCCAATGGCAAGGGATTGGCGGGGTGGGGGTGGAGCACTCCTGAGAGTGCTCAGGGCTTACTCATGTTTCTATAATTCTGAGTCACTCCTGATAGAACTTAAGGAACTTCATGTGGTACTGGGGATCAAATTTGGGTTAGCCACCTGCAAGATCCCTTCTTACCATATCATCTTTCCAGCTCCTATACTGTTTTTTCTTAATGAAGAGCTTTTAAATGCAAAATCGCACTGTACACGCTTATCCGAGGTATTCAAAAGTTTTGCTTTTAGATAAGTAATAGACTCTCTCCATAACTCCAAAGCTTAAAAGCTGAACAATAATATATGATGGGCAACTGGAGGCTATATGAAGAATTTTCCCAGAGGATGTAGCTGCCAGTTGACCTACAAGTATAGAGATCTACTTCTTGTAGCTCTGTAAATTCCATTACTTCTTAAGATTGCCTACTACCTGTTTGGAGTGGTCTAACATCTTCCTGTGGTCCCACCTTATTCTCCACAGTGGCCAATTTCAGATTTTATCTCATAAGCTCCACCATTTGTAAACCAACAGGAGTACATTATCCATGCAAGTATCTGTCTATAAAAATTTTTGATACATAAAGTGACTAATCATTATCTTATGAACTGATATAAATTCACTCTCTGAAATTTAAGATGCAGTTTTATGTATTAATCTGTTAATTTGATGGTCAAACAACATTTACACAGTAAATATGTGTATGGGGCTGGAGCGATAGCACAGTGGTAGGGCGTTTGCCTTGCACGCAGCCAACATGGCCGACCCGAGTTCGATTCCTCCACCCCTCTCGGAGAGCCCGGCAAGCTACCCGTGATGTACTCGATATGCCAAACACAGTAACAACAAAAATCTCCAACGGAGATGTTACTGGGCCCGCTCGAGCAAATTGATGAACAATGGGAGGGCCTTTACCTTTACCTTTACTCAATGTAATAAAGTTATATACCACTGAATATTTTATGAGAAACTAATCTCATTCAATCTGATTAATACCAAAAACTGAAAATATTTACTTGGCAAATAGGAAACTCATTGGGTATGTTAAAAAGAAGGGGAATTTATGCCAACACCCAAGAATCAAAGTTCAAGTTGCCCAAGCTTACTTTCACTACTCTTATCCATGTTATTCATCAGCAATATCAAGAATCTCTCAGATGAATCTCAGTGATAAAAGAATCAACATAGATACTAGAAAGGAACAAAATATTTTCTTAGATCTTGGGAGTGGGAAAAAACAGAAATGAATGTTTTGAAGAACATAAGAAGCATATGAATAGCCATCTGGAAACAAAACAAAAATTTAGATAAATATTTACCTTTAATAACAAGGAAGGTAAAAGATAATTTTATCTAAGTTTGTATAAAGAAATATAAACAACTTGAAGGAGAAACCATTGGACCAAAGTGAAATTGGTAGAGTTGGGTGAGGGTGTGAATAAGAAATAAAACCAATATGACTAAAGCACAGTGATTTCTAGATAAGAAAATATCTTCTAAAAGTATAGAATCAGTTTTGTAAAACTATATGGAAGCCGTTCAAAAGAGATGCAGCACATATATAAGAGGTACTATTGCGGATCTTGATCGTACCTGCTTAAACAGCTGATAGGGTATCTGGTGTGAATGTTGACTGGTTCAGCCTTTTTGGAAAACAATATGTATATTCCTCAAAGAATTAATAACCATAAAAATAAAAAGAACTGAACCTTCATATAACCCAACAATTCCACTTCTTGGAATATAACCCAAGGAGGGCCCAGAAACACTTTTCAGGAAGACATTTGCAGTCCTATGTTACTTGCAGCACTACTCACTATAGTTAAATCTGGAAACAACCCAAGTGTCCAAGGACAGATAATTAAAGAAGAGATGGCATATATTCATAATGGATTACTACTTAGCTCTAAGAGAAAAATGAGATCATGCAATTTTTTTGCCGTGTGATTGGATTGGAGGAATACCATGCTGAGTCGTTAGAAGGAGAAGGACAGTCACAAAATGATCTAACATGTGGGAAGTAAAGAAAAATAGTAGGGGAACAACAAATGCCCAAAGGTAACAGAAACTGAGAATTTGAGAACTGGTCTTCAATGGGAAGCTTACCAAGAACAGAGAGAGAGGTGGGATGTGGAGGAAGACAGGATCGGGTCCCAAAAGGAACACAGCAATGGTGGAGCAAAGTGGCCACTCTGAAGTAGGAGATGATGCTGGAAGGTGAGAAAATGTTATGCACAAAACCCTAGCAGTATTGTAAAGTACAGTGCTTAAAAGGAAAAAAATAGTGCCACCCAAAGAAATAGGCTGTGGGTCAGAGGGAAACTGAGAACATTAGTGGAGGGAAGTGAACACTAGTGAAGGGGTTAGTGTTGGAACATTGTATGCCTGAAACTAAATTATGATTAACTTTGTAAATCACAATGATAAAAACAATTTTTTTTAAAAAGAAATAATTAATCTCTTCCAAGGTTCATTTTCAGTAACATCAATTGGCAGATAAAAATCAGTTGTGGGAGTATTTATACTACAGAAATTGACAAACAATACAAATCATGAAGTTTTTTTTTTTTTGATA